AGCAGCCACCGAGTGTGCATGGGGAAAGCGCCAAAGGCAGGGCCTCATCACAGCAGACTTTTTTTTTTGTTCAATCGACAGGCTGGTGACACGGGCGACGCCGGTGACACTGGCGGCTGGAGCGTGAACAGAGTCTTGTCTTGTTCATGCCTAAAAGCTCCTTGTCTTTGTGTGGCCTTCTCCCCGGTTTTATTCATCCATCTTTGCGGGCACCAACCGCTACCTCCAGACGCCTGGGCAGCCATCCGCGCTGAGCACTTGACCCAACTTGCCAGGCACACTGTCACCCCTCACGGCCTGCGGGTTGCTCAAGTGAACATACCACCTTTTTGTCAGGCTCGGGCCATCTCTCCTCATCACCGGTCTTAGCCTTGTTGGTGCTTCCCGAGTGTTGGGCGGCGTGTTGGACGAACTGCCTGACGGACGGCCAGGGGGAACAGGCGCCATCGAAGGTTCAAATGCTGAGGGGGCTCTCTGATCCATCATTGTTCAGACGCGAGGACATCATAGCGTGGCGGCCCGACACCAACACCACCAAGAGTCAAAGCTTGCATGCGGTAATATTGCTCGTGTTCTTTATTCTCACTTGGCGCATTCCCCTGCGGATTTCCTGCTCGGCAAAGCCTTATAATGCACCACGCGCTCTGCCCAACCCCAATCAACGACGTACGCTGCAGTAGGTTGATGCAGGCAAGACAACCCCCGACTGGTTCGCCGCCGCCCAGGGCTGCTTCTCTATTCGCCCGTACTTTCGCATCTATATATTTTTTCTTTTTATTTTCTTTTTCGATTCTTACGCCTACTCGACTTCGAGCCAACCAGAGCAGGCAGAGGGGAAAGTGCGTGCATAATCAATCGACATATCGCGCCAGGGTGGTGGTGGTGGTGGTGGGATATTCAGCCCGTGGTTGCCCGAAGCCATCCAGGAGAAATTTCTTAACGGCCCAAAAACCCAACAAACCAACCGCCGGGCCTGTTTAGAGAATGAGGCGGCCTTCGCACCTAGATGATGTGGATGGCGATCATATCCCCCGTCGAGCAAGACGGTACGACGACCGCATTCTGGACCTGAGAGCGAAGCCTGACCAGTCGCCCGATTCGCCGCCCCATGCTTTCGACGACGGGGTACATAGCTCCCCGCGTAGGACGACATCTCGACGACGACGCTATTCAAGTTTAAGGAGCCCGGAGCCAAACGAGTACTTTGCTGCTGCTTCTGCCTCCTCAACCATGCCGCCTCCCTCAGCGCCAGCGCCTGTAATCGGTTTAACAAGGTCTGCAACAGATGCCGCGTATCGAAGACCTGTTAATTGTCTCGCTCCAGACGACCGGTATGAGGTCCCGCTTGTGAGGAGGCATTCGGCGAGGGACGTGTCTCCGGGATATGGAAGGACGAGGGGGGGAGCAGAATACTCGGCCCATTCCTCGGCCACAAGCGGCCTTGCGTATGGAGATGATTATGATTGTGATCACATAGAGGTTGTTGAGGAGCTCGAGGAGGAGCCGGCCAGGTACAGAGAGCGTGGTCAGTCGAGCCGAGATGAGTATATCGAGTCATCTTCAGATAGGAGATATCGTAGGAGAAGGAGGAAGCCGTATGGGGACGAAGATGGCGGGTCGCGGAGGTACTATGCTGCTAGTGAGGGTGGCTCCGCAGCCATTGCATCATCAAGGACGCCTGATCGAAGTGTTTCGTCTCGTCGCGAGAGAGTTCATCACGTTCCTGATGTGATTGAAGATTCCCGGCCGCCGATTTCGTCCAACAGGTATGTTTCAAGTCATGGAGAGCTGTGTCGCTCGGGTTCTAATTATACATATGTGGCAGGCCGCTAGTGCATAGACGTCACAGGTCCGCTGAGATTATACAGCTTGACCAGCCGAAAACTCGAAGATTCAGCCGGAGTAGGGCTGGATCCGTATCGGGTGGTCCTTCTAGCATCATCGGGAGTATATTTGGGGCGCAGACAGTGCGACAGGAGAGTCCGGATAAGCACCTGAAGGAGGCAAAGGTGCCAAAGAAACGGTCAGTCTTTCACCATGTCGAAGTCGCGCGAATTACGACGAACAGAACTAAATGAAAACGCAGTGTTGATTGTGTCATCTGTATGGGTGACGTGTCAACATCCAAAGCCTCCAAGTTAAGATGCGGGCATTACATGTGCCGTCCATGCCTTGAACGCATCTTTAGGCTTTCCGTCACCGATCCGCAACACATGCCTCCTCGATGCTGCACGACAGACCATATTCCTCTAAAGCATGTTGAACGACTTTTCGATCATGCCTTCAAGAAGACTTGGAATCGTAAATTCGCAGAATACTCAACCAAGAATCGAGTTTACTGTCCGGCCCGAAAATGCGGAGAATGGATCAAACCGTCCAACATTAAGCGCGAGGACGGCCGCAAAGTAGGAAGATGTAGTAGGTGCAGAACCAAGGTATGTTGCGCATGCAACACCCGATGGCATGGAGCTACGTCGTGTCCGAACGACCCAGAGACGGCGGATATTCTTGCCCAGGCGAAAGAAGAAGGGTGGAAGCGGTGCTACAGGTGCAAGGCTTTGGTAGAGCTGAAAGAGGGTTGTAACCATATGACATGGTAAGCCCACTTCTTCGCCAGCTTCCTGCTTTAGGAAAGGTGAAACTTCTGCTGACAATGTATAGTCGGTGCGGTGCTGAGTTCTGCATGATTTGCGGCATAAAGTGGAAAAACTGCGATTGTCCCTGGTTCAATGATGACGATCGCCGCGCCGACTTCTTGAACGATATGAATATTCCGATTCCTAGTATCAGAGGCGACCTGGGTGACATATTCCGAGGCAACGGCCCCCCTGCACCACCCGAACTACGAGGGCATACAGAACCTCCTCCTATGATGATGCCAGTTCGTCGAAGACCAAGGACGTACCAGGAGGAAATGCACATGCGACGACAGCAGGAATCGTTCGACGCCGACTTTGCTCGTCAATTGCAGTATACGGGTGATTACGACGAACCGCACAGTTACAGTATGATGGGTGGGTTGGGAGACATCCATGGCATTGGAAACGCATCAGAGCATTATATGAATGAGAATTACAGACGGGGGGGACACTACAGACCCCAAACACAAACGACAGCAGTACACGACAGACCCGAGTACGGTGATACTCGGCGTTCACGGGGACGTTTAGAGACCTCTCAAGAACGACGACTGGCAGATCGTCTATCAGAAACCCGATCCGGCTTCGGATCTCCTCCGGCCGCAGGACCAATTTACCCAGTGGGCATGAGCGTGCCTCCTCCACCAGTACCTGCGGCCCCGGTTCCCATCCCGCCTTCCCTTGCGCTGCGGCACCATACGGTCGAGGCGGAAATGTACAATATATCGCCGTATACTCCGCGGGCCGAGAGAGTCGTGGGGCGGCGCATGTCGAGGGATTACGAAGACGAGGCAAGGGTCCATTCTCCACCGCGAAGCCATTGGCGCAGAGGCAGGGAGACCAGGCCCAAGTCGAGCGAGTTGGCCGGATTGAATGGCACGGGACAGGGGATGAATCGGGTTTCGCAGTGGAGGACATTTGTTGAGCCTGGGATTCCGGATGGGGAGTCAACGGTTGGGCACGCTTAAGATTTTGCTCTCACGAGTTTATGATGTATATTCTAGAACTTTTTTGGACTTTTGAAACGAGTTTTTCTTTCCTTTTTCTACCTCATTTCGTGTAGCGTTCTTGACCTGACATGGTTGTAGCAAAGCGGAAGATTCTGTACTTGAGTGAGTGAGTGGCCTGGCCGCATGCCGTTGATGGTTCAATCTACGGAGGGAGCCATGTTCCCCTCAAATTTGAGCGACGATTGACTTGACAGCTGCCTATATTACGATTATATTGGATGCAGGGATGTCTTTGACGATCGGTTGAGGAGGCTCCAAGAAGCATGGGGAAAGTTCGTGGGAGGTCCGAGTCTGAAAGCGTGCCCCATGACGGCTGCCAAGACGACGGCCTGGTTTGACAGGACGATATTCATGCACCCCGTACTCTGTATGCACAGCCGACACGTGCGAGATGACGGGACATGCAGAGGCAGGAAAAGCAGCGCACGATGGTGCCAGGGCCTTGATGGAGGACGGGGAGGGAGGAGTTGTCAGGTTCTCAAGTTGGCTGGACTGGAAATGAGGTCGGGTTGTGTAACGGGAGCCACTTCACGGCGCACTGACGTGAATAGGGAGCAATTTGGAGGGGCAGACGGATTGGTTGGATGTTGGCAGTGCTCATTGCTCGGTAGCACGTACAATATACTCCGTATGTACGCTCGATTTTTTTTTTTTTTTTCGTTTTCAAATGGATGACGACGGCGGTTGAGATTGAAACGCCTAGATGCTGCTCCGTGCATCCGAGTTCCCGTATAGCTAAGGCCCTGGGCGCCTAGTCCTCTTCGGGTGCAGCGGGATCGGTTGCCTCTCGCACTTGCCATTCTCTCCGGAGTTCCGCTGACAGCTCAAGAGGAAGTGCGTGAGCCCGCGAGGGTCGGCGGGGCCCACTTCCAACAATTGTTCTACTAGTGCTAGTACTCCGTAAGTCACCTCCTATTCCGCACCCGCAGCCGTAGTCAGTCATTCGCAGCAGGCGGGCACATGTTCATCTTCCCACCACTCTTTTCTCATTACACTTGCATCTTCCTCCATGTCACACTCGCATTTTGCTGCCAAAACTTGTCGCATCATGAAGGGCATGTGCTAGGGCTCCCTTCTCCTCTCCAAATCCCTGGACAGCTTGCGCCTGCCGGTGCTGCACATGCCGCAGCTGCTGGTGCTTTGACGTCAGCATCCTCAAAGGTGACCACGTGCTGTCTATGATGCTCGCGTGCAGTTGAAAGCCATTCTCCCTCAGCCCCTGTGCGACACGACTTTTCTCCTTCATACCTTGCCACGCCGAAGCTCGAATCTACGTCTCCGGGATCCTGTCCGATATTGCCTGCGCGAGCTCAAAGTTTGGCCGTCGCAAAACCAGGGCCACCATATCATTATGCTCCTCCTGCATCAGGTCGGCAGCGTCAAGATTGGCGAAGTCGTCCGATACACCGTCACATACACACCGTCGCAGGACCGAATCCTGCCGTCACCCGAGAAACTCTACGTTCGGATCCGAAATACTTCCACTATTGCCCTGCGCGCTGCATTTGTCCACGGCCCGTATACGCTGTCTGTCTCGGCCTACCCTTCCAACTATAACCCCAATGAGAAATATCCCAATCCCCGCCGTTATGGAGTCCCCGAGTTTGAACCTATGCTCAAGGCAGGAGGGTCGTGGGAGTGCGAACTCGTCGTCCCAGACGATATCCGCCAGGCTGCTGGTGCCGGGCGGCATGGCGGGTTCGGCAAGAGTTGTGAGCACGACGATGAGTGCGCTAGCTGGATTATCGAAGTTGCCTCCCAGGTCATCTTCTCGACCTCGGCCGCCGTAGGGTTCGAGGTCGTGGTGGCGCGAGACTACAAATCGTTGAACCTGAGCCAGACATTGCCTATTGTTGGTAATTCAAGCGCGGTACCTCAGCCTGGCCGTGTTTGTGACCACCAGCAGAGCATTGGAGCCAAGGACGGGCACCATCCTGCGCAGCCCAAAGGTGTCTTCTCTCGAGCAGTCCACCTGAAAGTGGAGGACACAGCTACGCTCTGGAATACTCCAAGACTCCCCGGCTGGGACGATGTGTGCGAAAAACGAGTCGAAGCTTCAGGTGCAGACAAGCCTGTACAAAGTACGGTCAAGACAGGCGATTCAGGAACCAACAAGTGCCAATCATGTTCAATAGGGGAGCGAAAGAAGAAAAAGGTTCATCTGGTAATCTTAACTCATGGGCTGCACAGTAACCTAGGAGCCGACATGTTATACATTAAAGAGAGCATTGACGTTGCTGCTAAGCAGGCACGGATAGATGCGAAGTCTAGACGGGCAAAGGAAAAGGCAGCCAAGAAGGAAGTTACTACCGAGTCGAAAACTGAAGACACGAAAAAGGGCGAAGGCGACGATGACGAGGTCGATGACGACGATGACGAAGAGGTCATTGTGCGCGGGTATCCGGGAAACGCCACCAAAACTGAAAAGGGTATCAAGTACCTCGGCAAAAGATTGTCAAGATACGTTCTCTCCATGACGTATCCCGACCAGCCTTTTCTTCCCATTGGTAAAGGGGCAGTCGAAGGTCTCGCCGAGGCTATGGGAGGCGGCCACAGCCACCAGCATCAAAAGTCCCCTAATTCGAAGCCGGCGCATAAGCATAGCACGATACAAGCTGATGCTGCCAAAACTAAGCACGATAGTCAATGCAGACATTACAAGATAACAAGCATCAGCTTTGTTGGGCATTCACTTGGTGGTCTTATCCAGACGTATGCTATTGCATATATTCAGAAGCACTCTCCCGACTTCTTTGATCTCATTCAACCAATCAACTTTATCTCCTTGGCGTCGCCATTCCTCGGTTTGAGTAATGAGAACCCTCTGTACGTCAAATTTGCCCTCGACTTTGGTCTAGTCGGGCGGACAGGCCAAGATCTCGGTCTCACCTGGAGGGCTCCAACCATTGCTCGAAGTGGATGGGGAGCCCTTGTAAGCAATCTTGGCGAGTCCGCACACAAAAAGGTATACGGCGAATCACAAGCTGAGTCTAAACCTCTGTTGCGCATTTTGCCTACTGGCCCTGCACATGTAGCCCTCAAAAAGTTCAGAAACCGAACTGTCTATTCCAATGTTGTCAATGATGGCATTGTGCCCCTTCGCACCAGCTGTCTGTTATTTTTGGATTGGCAAGGTCTCGGTCGTGTCGAAAAGGCTCGGCGAGATGCCGGCTTGGTAGAAACTGTTGTTGGGTTCGGATGGGCAGAGTTGACTGGCACAAACATCCTGTCCCCGCGGCAAAGACAGAGGCTTCCCTCCGATGAGCAACTACAGCAAAGTGACTCTGGGACAAGCACACCGAGGGGGAGCATGCGCCAGGTTCCGCAGCCCTCAGACGACGCCATGAACGAGGATGATAGAGCAAGCATCCGCTCAGTGCCTCGACCATTCAATGGGGACGACGATGTCCCCTCCGACACTGGTGGTGATGCAGCTCACCTCTCGCCTTTGGCCGGCTTCTTCAATCTCTTCAAGAGCAACGAGCCTCCCAAGCCCCAAGTAACCTCTGCCAAACAAAAGAAGATTCTGCGACGCGGCCAGACAATGCCAACCAACGATTCTGACACCACCAACTCGAGCATCACGGATATAAGCGACCGGAAACCCGGCAAAGCGACCACAGGGCACGAGATGGAAGAGGATGTGGATGGGATGACTGCACCGCCCAAAACTACATTCTTCGAATCCGCCGGCGATCTTCTCAACCCCAGCTTACCCACCACAGAATACCTGCTTGATCCATCAAAGCGTCCCAGAACCATTTTCCACGACCGGGTATACCATCCAAGTGACATACCCCCTCCTCCCATGAAAAAGCGGCAGTCGACCCTTGTCCGTCGCAGGACGTCCGGGAAGATGTCTGCAACGTCGCACCAGCAAAGCGATTCATCGTCACCTTACCCTTCAATAAACCACGCAGATTCCATGGAGTCGGCAAGGGACTATGACGACACAGTCCACACCAACCCAGACAAACATCCGGCCGAAGTAGTGGACGGTTCGAGCATGCGGGTAGAAGAAAAGATTGCCAGAGGCTATCATCGTGATCTTTCTTGGCGCAAAGTGCTGGTCAAGCTAGAACCGGACGCACACAACAACATCATTGTGCGCCGCATGTTTGCTAACGCTCACGGCTGGCCTGTCGTGAAGCACTTGGTGGACGCACATTTTAGTGACTCGGAGGCTGCGCGGATGCGAGATGACGAGGAACCAAACGTAGAGCGGGCATTTGCATCTCACCGGTCGCCGGATGCTGATGGTCGGGAAGTTAAACGGTTGGGCCAACTTGGTCAAGACGGCGCGGGCAGCCCTGACTCATCGGAAGAGCCGGGCGCCGGCGAGACCAGCGAGGCGCGAGAGGCGCGAGAAGCACTGGACGAGGTCCCTGAATTGCGGAAGAAACCAGACGGCGATCTCTCGTCACTACCTCCTCGTCTCGGGTCGTCGGACAGAGCTGACTCGATGACGTGGAGTGAGCGAGACTGGGTGGACAGTGAAAACGAGAGCGAAATAGAAACCCATGAAGACGGAAAGGTTGGTAAACAAAGGCACCAGCCGACGCAGCCGACAAAGGACGGGACGCAAGGGCGGCTCAGCCCGTCGTCATGGAAGTGGGCTGAGAAAATCGTAGGCAAGGGGTCGACAAGAAGCCGGAGTAAGAGTCCAAAGCCCGGTGAAGACAAATGACGAAGCTTATTGGTCAATGAAGAAGCAAACACGCGCCCTGGATGAGACATGGCTCATGCAATAGATGTCACTACATAATTAATACAGTACTACTACTACTACGTATAAAAGGGAATGACGGCGTTGTGCATTAGTCACATGGCAAACACGTTGAATCGAAACATAAAAAGCAACGAGAGACAAGTTGTATGTGACAGATAGAAACATGGCTGTTTCCAAAGTCGCGCCATTTGGGCAGCAAAAGATTGACGGGGCAGCATCCCAGGTCAATACGGCACACAGCATCACACATGCCTTGGGCAAAATGTTGCCACAATATTGCCCGTCTGCTCGCGGCAAAACATCACCCTGTTCTCATTCAAGACTTCACTGAGCCTACATATACCATGGCGCAAGGTCGAGCAGTGCGCTAGGCGTAACACAGCCCCAAGAGCAACCAGTCTTGGCGAAAAGCAGCCCGAAAAAAAAATTAAAAAAATGAAGGTATAATGGTGGGCTCAATACCACCTCAATGGACGAACGGGGAATCGAACCCCGGACCACTCCCAATCACGAATCCGTAAACGGAAACTTGCTAAGGGAGTATTATACCACTAAACCATCCGCCCCTATTGGGAATAGCTTGGTTATTTTATTATATATATCCATCCCTATTGGGCATAGGTTGGTTATTTTACTATGACAAGGATCTTGGCGTGCTCCCGTGAATGCGAGCCTGGTGGGGCCAGATGGCCTGCGGTGAAATTGCCAGTCGGGATTTGCCAGAAAAGAGTGCCCAGATGCGGAAATGCGAGTCAGTGTTTGTGTGATATGATGGCTCGCACGAATTGGATTATAACATTTCATATGTGACTTGTGCGTAGCATTGCCGCGTTTCCAGCAGTGGCTGATGTTTCACCCGTCGCTGCGTGACTCTGATGGTCGCACAACGGGCAGTGTGACGAGAAAGGCGATCTGGACGCACGGTGCCATTTTGGGGCATCGTGTTGCGGAAAAGCAGCAAGATAACCAATTTCGAGTTTGACCAAGGGGGGGGGGGGGGGCCTGGCCTCGATTGCCGTTGGCCGCCATTCGTTTTCCGTTTTGCCTTCCCGTCACGGACTACTCCATGGAGCACATTATTCTGTGAACGGGTGAACATGTGTGACCCTCTTTCCTCCTGTTTTACCCCGGAGGTTCATTTGCTGCACGGAGTACTCCGTAGAGGGGGGGGGGTTTTTCTTGCGTGTGCGCTTTGCAACAATGGCACTCGCTCCGTGCCCTGCCTCCGCTCCCCGTGCCAGAGACCAGATGCAGCAGAGGACGAGCGGACAAGGTGGGAACACGGTCCATGTCACAAAGAGGTCCGGAGCTGGCTGGCGGCACCGAGTACAGTGACCGACTGTGTCGTCCATGATATGGCTTGGCGCAGTCCCACAAGGGCACTGTGTAGTTGTAACCATGGACCGGGATGGTTTGTTGCTGAACACTGAAGAGATGCCGAACACGCCGGTGCGCAGTGATGACAGCGTCGAGACGGCCTTGTCGATTCGCTGGCCACCGAAGCCGCTTTTCCAGAGTGCAGCATCAGAATGTCGACTAGAGAGGCTCTGGGGCGAACATGCTCGGCGAGGGTGCTCGAGTTGTGATGCTCGCCCTGGATGTTCGCCTTGGCTGTTCGCCTTGGCTGTTCGCCCTGCGCATGGTGCAAGGCTGGGGCGTTTGAAGCACCAGTGATTCTTGAGTGCTGGCTCCGGGCTTCTGGACTCAGTGCGTACATGCAGTTTGCGTGAAACTGGACAGTGCCTTCCTTTTGGGCACCCGGGTTGAACAAATGTCTGCTTTTTCCTGCGGAAGGGGCGACTCAGTCACAGTCCTAGTCCCGGTTCCCAGTCCCGCCATGGAGCGACAAACTTGATAATTCACAGCTGCCCAAGGAGTCTTCACCACTCGAGCATTCATTTTTCGTAAAAGTAATAAAAACCTCTACCTCGGTCGTTCTCTTTTCGTAAGAGGGATTCCTCTTTTTCTTTTTTTTCTTTTTTCTCTCTCTTCTCTTCAACCATCCCGATCAAACGCTAAGCTTACTTCGCCCTTGGTTGCGCATGGTTCTTGATTTCTTTCCTTACTTTCACTTTTCTCTTCCCCATTGAGTGATATTCCAAGCAAGCCTTATTTGCCTTACCAGCTGAGATAGGCGAAACTTGTTGGCTCACCTTCTACCATACGGACAACAGAGGAGACGGCGCAGAGCTGGCTCTGGCCCAAGTCGCTGGACCGCCCGAGGGGCAAAGATTGCAGCGGCACCCAAACCATCTTTCCTCCCCGAAGAGGACGCCGAACCGAGAGCGGGCAGACAAGGAAAACAAAAAGTGCTGGGCCTGGCCCGTGAAGCGAGGTTGGAGGAGAAAAGACAAAAAAACAAAAACCATGCCCGGAACAATAGACCTCCGTGCCACCATTCCGGCGGCTAAGATGGTCTCAAATCCGGGGAACCTCCGCCTGCTCGGCACCTGGAACCAGGTTGCAATGCGAGCTTATGTCCGGCAAGTGTTTTGCTTTCCAATCGACGAGCGGCTGGACGGCTTCGACAAGCTGCGCACTCACATCCAAAACCGGCTCAAGCTTGCATGCAACCATTTCCCTCACTTTGCGGGAAAGATATATCTTGGCCGGACCAAGGGGACAGTGCACCTTTCCACGACGAAAAATGATAAAGTGTCTTTCAAATTTTTTGATAATCGACAATGTGAGGAGTCGTTGTTTAGCTGGAGCTACCCCGAGCTCAAGGCACAGGGTTTCCCCTGCAAGGCATTTGTAGGGCCCTGTTTCGACCTGCCGTATGACTTGACGGAAAACGGGCCCGGAGTGCCTGTTACTGAGGTTCATGCACGCATTATCCGAGGCGGCGGTCTATTGCTGTGCTTCTACTTCCACCACTCCATTACAGATGGCATTGGCATGCACAGCTTCATATCGATCTTTGCCGCCTTCACCCGCCGCGACGAGACGGCTGCCCAGAATGGTATCGAGGACGGTGTTAGGGCTGGTGTTAAAAGTGTCGCCGAGTATGCAGTCAAGAATGGTGTCGAAAATGGCCAGGCTAACAAGTTTGAATACCCCGCCAATATAGACGTGGATATTCCCGAGAGCGAAACGACTGCTTTACTCGAGTCGTCCTTTGAGGACCTGATGAAGGATTGTCCCGAATACACCCTTCTTCCCCAGCCGACGGGACCAACCGCCCCATGTACCCGCCGAGAGCGGGTGCCATCTCTTGCCGATGTCCCTAAGACGGGCCGCATATTCAAGTTCAGCGAGGAGAAGATTAGGGCCCTTCACGCGGTGGCGCAGAATTGGAGTGGGAGCCATGTTAGGACCTTTGCCTGTCTGGCGGGTGTCGTGTGGAGCTTCTGTACCGCTGCACGACTCGCGGGCCATCAGCCGCGAGAGCCGTCTGCCCCAAATCCTACCAACTTAAACAAAGACAGCTTAACAGACAAGACACACCTTCTCGTCCCAGCAAGCTGGAAAAAATGTGCGTATCAAGGCAGACTACTTGGGTATGCAAGCAATGCGGTGTGCATGCCCAGAATTTGCGCCAACATGGACGATCATGTGGTGATTAGTAGCCAGCAGTCATGTACAAAGGCCTCACCAGCCTCGGCTGCGACAGCGGACGAGCTGCTGGGCAAACTGATATGCTCCATCGACTCGGCAATAACAGCCATTGACAAGGGCTTTGTTGACAAACGGACAGCCATGTTTCGAGCTGCCCCGGATCCTCGATTTGTCGGTATCAATCTGGATCCTCAAGAGCCTTCGGACTTCATCTTCAACTCTTGGCGCCATTTGGGAGCCGATGTTGTATTTTGGTTTCCAGGATTAAAGCCCGAGGGCAAGTCAAGTTCAGGTGGAAGAACAGCTGATGCCGTGCGTCGCGCGCAGCCACAGTGGAATATGGGCGCTGGACTTGTGCTACCAGGAAAGCTGCATTCGGATTATGAGATATTGGTGACGCTGGACAAGGCGTCGATGATGCGACTGTTGGCGAACGAGGAGTGGAAGAAGTGGGTGAGCAATGACAACACGATTGAGTAGCGAAGGCTGCAGGGTTGGATACCAGACAAGTTGGGCGTTTTTTTGTAAAGATTTATTGGCAACGATGATAGACAGGGCCCGAAGGCCGACTTCCACTCAGATAAAATTTCTTTTGAATAAAAATGGTTGATGAATGAGTTAACTACCAACCAATGCCGGCTCCAGTTGCAGGTGTGCGAGTCTTGGCCATCGGGTGGCTCCAGACGTGCAGGTGTGGACCGAGGTGCGATGGTGGAGACGCCTCCACTAGATCCAATGTGAAGCAAGCTATTAATTATTAGGTAGCAGTAGGTAATTTACCCCATATTACTTCTGCTAACTACTAAGTACATACCTTAGATAGTATCTGGGTTGTCTGCCCAGCTGTGACATGACATCAGTGCAGTACTGCGTCGTCGTCGTCGACTCGTCGCCCAAATACCGTCAAGTCGGTCGCAAGCCGCCTTCAGTCCAGCATCGCTGGGCAACTACAAGCAACTCTTCCTACAACCCACCGACCTTGCTCGACGACCAAGACAAGACCAACACTCGACTTAGACTCTTTTGGTTCTCGTCGCAATGGAGGAATAATTGGGTAGCCACTTAGCGTAGTGCGTTGCAAACACTGCTGCACTCCAAGTCGCCACCACCGAGAGACGCAACCGAAAAAGGAGAATACTCCCTCCTCCCACGACCATCAATTGGAACCTTGGTCCGCAGTCCGTATCCCCCTCCCAAGATGCGCATCTTCCTCCTCCCCCTCTCCACGCGGCGCACGTTTCTCTACGCCCAGCGCCTGCACGCAACGACGTCGCCGCCCAACACGTCGCTGCTCGACCGCGGCACCGCCTTCGCCGCGCGCAAATGGTCCGAATGGGAAAAGAAGCCCTCGGGCTGGCAGAAGAAGGTGGTCGAGTACGGGAACCACGCCTTTCGAAGGATCCCCTACGAGGAATGGGGGCTCAAGAGCGTGCCGCCGCTGTCGACGCGCCGCAGGCAAGACGAAATCGAGGGCAGGGAGAAGGTCGAGCTGGTGTATCCGGGAAGCGTCCTGCGCGACGAGGATGTGCTACGGGTGACGGGCCAGCTGGCCGGCGAGAGGGAGGGTTTGCACCGGCGGCGGTTGATGTGGTGTTTTGTCGGGATGCCCATAACGCTGCCCTTTGCGTTGGTGCCCATGTGAGCATATCCACGGTCAACTTTTTCTCAAACCGCGCAGCTGACAACGATGCTTTGCAAGAATCCCTAACCTGCCGTTCTTCTACCTCGTGTACCGCGCCTGGTCGCACTGGCGCGCCATCGCCGGCGGCAAACACATCCAATGGCTCGTCGAGCAGAAGCTGCTCAAACCCGCGCCATCGTCTACGCTGGACAAACTGTATGGCCAGGCGCCCAAGCTTGCGGCGTCGGTCTCGCCAGTCGACAAGGAGCGGCTACTCTTGACGCAGGAACAGGTCACGTCGTTCTCGGAGAGTCTGGATATCCCTGCGCTGGAGATTGAGCTAGAGAGGGCGATATGGCAGGTCGAGCAGGCGCTTCAGAAGGCCGACGAGCAGCAGCAGCAGCAGCAGCAGACGCAGAAGCACGGAGACGGCACAAACGCAAATCACGACGTCAAGAGTAAAGATTCAAAAGAGAAGCAATAACCACCATGAGATTAATGTATACTAATAAAATAGAGACCGGAGGACGGAGGTAAACAAAAACCTCCCCTTCCTCCTTATAGAATGGGACCAGCCCCCTCCATGTTCTTATCAACTTATTTTTCACCTGAAAAACGATACCAAAATAAAAAAAATATAAATCCCCGTGCCATCACTTTTGTAACGTATACCATCCCATCGCCCCCATTTTCGAATCAACAATCCCGCTCCTGAGGAGGCCTCTCGCACCTGAACCAGCCGGGAACAGGGAATCTCCTCATCAAGCCCACCGCCAGCGCCACCCGCCGCGGCGTCAAGAAGCTCAAGGCCGGCCCATGGAACTGGTGCTCCGTCTCGCCCTGCTCGCCCCGTTCGGCCCTGGCATCCCGTCCGTCGAGGCCGTCGAGCGGCTGCCTTTTGCCGTCTGGCCGCAGCCCAGCCGCCTCCTACCCAGAGCCAAACGCATCAGCACCCACCAGACGTCACTCGGGCAAATCAAAGGGTCAGGGAACAAAAAAAGACGTACCTCCCTCCAGGCAATCGTCTCCCTCAGCCGCCTCTCGTACTCCCTCGCCTCCTGCAGCATCTTGTGTGAGCGCCACGCCTCCGCGGCCCTGTACCTCAGCAGCCGCTGCGTCGGGCTCACGCTCACGTTGGTCCTGGCCCGGGCCTCGCGCGCGCGCACCGGCGTAGTGCGGCGTGGGTTGAGCGGCGACGGGAACTCGGGCTCGTACGGCTCCAACATGTCCATGAGATCCGGGACAGCGAGTGAATAATAATACTATTTTTTTAAAAAAAGAAAAAAAAGATGAATCAGAAGTGAAAAAAAAAAAGCCAAGACAGCAAGGGGACGTGGATGAAGAAGAGAATCAATGCGAGGAGGGGAACAAAAATAAACACCAGGACATGTCGATTGGATTTTGAGCGCATGGGGCGCGGCTTTCAAGCCTGGAAACCTTGTCGCCCGATCCGTACCGGATATGCTTTGTTGTGCGGCTGGAATGCGGCCTGTGGGATTTGTTTGATGGCGGGTGTTGGGGACCATTGATGGCATGGGAATTGCCTTGCTGTGAATGTACTGACCGGAGAATTTTTTTGTCTCTTTTTTTTTTTTTTGGTTCTTTCTACCCGGCCAGATCCTTTCGTGATGGCCATCATACTGAGGCTCTATTTTCTGCAACATGATACTGGACTTCCCATGGAGCTTTGCTCCGAACACAGAGAGGCTGGCTGCGTGCCGTGATGGTGGAGATGTTGTTTTCTTGGCCTTGTGTGGTTGGCGCCCGTCCGGTTGCGGGAGTTTGGTAACGTCGTTCGATCTGGTCGCGGCCAGCCACGGCCATTTATTTTTATCTTTTCTTGGAGCTACAAGAGGGCCGAGTAGGAGTGGCTTACTACATTTTCACGGCCGAATCCATCACGTCGCAATTGCCTTGATGTCATCCTCCCCGCCTGCGAATAAAAGTCCAGTGTAGCGTTAGTATTAAATATTGTACCTGTATAATGCTCGGCATAGTACCAAAACCAAAACCTTGAAAGAAAAAAAGATCAAAAGTTTTGCCGGTATGCTGGGACCAAGGGATATATCAAAGCGAGTGACCAATGCCGTCTCCAACGCCTGTTCTCATTTATTAGAGTGTATTTACCCAACACGATGATGCATGCAGTCGTTTCTTCCATCTCTTCGAAGTGCAAACAATTAAACCCTATTGCTGTTAATTTCCTTCCCCACTTGTTGGTTGGTTGGTCTTAGTTTAGCTTATTCGGTGATGAACGTAGCTTCCATGAATAGCTGGCCCTCTTCGGTGACTTCTTCGTCTCCAATCTTGAGCTTGAGGGTCATCTTTGGCGCATACTGCAAGTTGTTGTTAGTGAGCCCATCTCACTGAGCAACTTTTAAAAAATAAAAATAATATAAAATATAAAATAAAGAGAGAGAAATGAATAGAAATGAAAATAGAAAAAGAACATCCTTACCTGATAGATGTATGGCTTGGTTCCCGCCGCCGCGGCCACAATCGTCTTGACAAAGCCAGGTACCTCGGCCATGACGTCCACGCGGTCCGTCCGTTCTCCGAGCGGCCCTTCCAGGACAGCGCTGACGGGCTTGGCGTCCGTCTTGTTGCCTGTCCATTCAAACTTGACAGAACTGGGCTCGGGCCACTCGTTCTCCGAATCGTTCTTGACGTCGGTATGGATGGCCTCGTGGCCGGGGCCCGCGGTGATGATCTGACCATCCTTGACAATACCTCCCACATTGACCAATGTTGAGCCGTAAGAAGGCGGGGTGGTGAACTCCATCATGATGGCCGAGTAGTTGGGACCCTGGAAGTTAGCAAAGTTCCACTTGCCGGCGGCGTGGTGCGGCTTCATGCCCTGCAGAGCGAACGAGTACATGGCCTGGCCCTTGAAGTCAATGGGGCCATCGGGAGTGGTGATGGTGCCCTCGGCCGCACAGCGAGGCCAGAAAGCGTGGCGCATGGTCCCCCAGGGGTTCTCGAGGTCGGTGCCATACTTTGTCGTGCCGCTCTTGCCGGCCTTGAAGCCAGGAGCAGTCCTGGTGATCTTGAGGTTGACGATCGACCTCGGGTCGTTCATGCTCTTGATGGTGTATTCGTTTCCATCTTTAGAGAGCTCGAGCGCGCAGTCGTCGGCGTAGCAGGAGGTCTTGTCCTCGTTGAATTCGAAGTTGTTCAGAGGCGTTGAGCACCATAGGTGGGGTTTGGAAGGGTCTTTGGAGAAGATCTTGGAGTTGAACTGGCAAGTAGTTCGCATGCCACTTAGCTCGGGGTGCGGCGCGTTAGCAAGGAAGAGGGAAAAGTTTAGCCATGGCATATGGCGGCTGCATGTTGTTTACGCAGGACCAGGTAGACATACGCAACGTTGCTGTAGATGACCTGTGCAAGACCGATGTGGCCCTCATCCGACACCAGGTAGAAGCTCTGGGTCTCTACACATGTCGACTCCATGGCCACCCACTTCAAGTCATCGCGGGTCAGTTCGGTAAAGGGCGTCTCCTTGGCTTCTTCAGCCACGGATCTGATCGCCGAAGCGCCATAGATGGGCTCCTGAGTGCCTGCGACGTTGGCCAACCTAAGATGGGACAACGACAACAACCGATGGTTAGCTGGGTGACTCGCGATGCACAATGGCGGGGAACAGCGGGCGACATCAGAGTATGAAGCAAAGTGGCTTAACGGATAGCAAAGAGCCTGACATACTGTTGCTTTGCCCAATTGAACATTCTGAAAATGGGCTGCCTGTCGTGGAGGAACAAGAGTGAGAAGATGAGGGATTTAGGATGAAAAAAATCCAAGTGGAATACCCGTGTGAGGAATCTGATGATGCATGAGGTAGAAGAAGGTGGCCGAGACAACAGGGCTGGACTGGGGACTAACACTGAGTGGAGCGCTAGAGCACTGGAACACAGGGTTTCAATGTTCACTTCACCGCTGCATGTGTCAGCGGAGGGCACCTGGGGGGCCTAACTTGACGCCGGGCGGGGGTGCTGGCGGGTGCTGGCACCACATGCAACCATTGATGTCTGGTCGAAGCGGCAGTCTTATTGAGTCCAGCATCAGACGGCGCCAAGAAGTGGGGCTGCCGCTCTCGATGGCCGATTCGATTTTACTGTCGCTGCCGCAGTCACCCTGCACAGGGCCCAGGGGCAGCACCAGACAAGGTGGGCATATGGTGGAGTCTATACATGTGTTGATGCATGTGGCCATTGGAGAGCGCCTTTTCATGTATTGTACGGAGTACGAAGTAGCCATGCCGGCAAGGCCCGACCAACATTGCGCATGAGACGAAAAAGCCCATGTCCAGAGTTAATAGGCTCAGTCCTTCTAGCTGACATCAAAAGGGCCAGACGCCGTCTCACGTGCCTTCAGTCATGGCAGTGGCCCGCATGTCCACATGCATGTCAGCTAGCGCCAGACTGATCGAGTCTGGTTGCCGAAATTTGGTGCCCAGATATCAAATTGGCCTGGGCTGTCTGGTCAATGCCTAACAGAAGGGGTCCTTAGGGAGCATCGGCGCTACCTCAGTGCTGCGAGTTCAATGTTTGCAGGGGCCGGCCACTGTAACTGCGTAAAGCACCTAAGCACACTCACTTTACCCAACCAGTTGGTCATTTGGACCTGAATACCCACGCCGCTGTTTCGTGTTTACTTCCTGTCCATGTTGTCAAAATCCAACTTTCAACGACTCCCATCGTGTTCATTTGAGGCGCTTTGGTTTTTATTTTCCCCTTGCAAGCGCCTCTGAGCTTACCGCATCATCTCTGCCAAAGGTGCTGCTTCATTCTGGATTGACCACGGCTCAAACCTCGCCCTTCTCCATTCAACGTTCATTCGCCCTTAAAAAAGTTTGCTTCTGTATCGCGCCGCCGAGTCGAACCGAGCCTCATCCCTTCGCCGAGCTCACAACCCAATCTCGCCCACTTTCATATCCTGAAATCTTCTTCTTGCGCATGCTGAACGTTCGCTTGTTGGCGCGTTTCTCGTCCGATCCGAATCAATACCGCCGTCTGGAGACGCGATCGCGCCATCCTGGCCCGCCTACGCCCTCGATCCATCTCAATCTACTTGGAGGATTTCGTCGAACAAAAATAGACAGAACTGACGAAACACATCTAAAACATCAATTATCATGATGGAGGAGCCATCGACCCTGCCACAAACGAACGAGCCTATCTCGCGACCCAGCCCGACCTCGACCCTGGTGTCTGCAAATTTGCAACAGCTCCCTGCCATCTCTGCTCTCGCAGTAAGCAACGCTGCGCAGAGTCCGCCGCAACTTAGGTACGACCCCTTATTAGGCGTCATCAGAGAAGAGAATCGAAATGGCATGTGCCAGGGCATACCGGCTAGTTGGAGTCGGCCCTCGCAGGAGGTGTTGCGTACCGGGGCAGAAGTCTAGAATTGCTTGCTCTCATTATCGAGCACGCAACATGAATATTCAGAAAACCTAGCTAATACTTATATCTAGAGCCACCGCAGCACCGCAGAATCCAACTTACACTGGTGCCACACCGCCGGCTGCAACTAATGGCAATGGCAATGGCAATTTGGTAAGTCTGATGGCCCCACGATCCTTCAATACACCAGTCGCAAACACCAACCCCCCAATAAGCCTGAGAGCAGCGACATGCCTATTTTGGATGTTCCCTAGACTGTGTATGGAGCTCCAAGAGGATCTCGATGCTTGATTGTCGATAAGGAGATGGCACATGGCTCTGGTCCGCACCATGAAATCCCAGCATGGAGCCAGTAGTTATTATGGAGCCGTGGCGTTTTGACATTTGCTTTCCCTTATCGCTGGAGATAAGAGTGGGTCACGTGCGGCATTGTAGGTACTAATCCCGGGCTGCCACCTCGGCCACTTTCGCAAAACGTGGCTTGCTTATCGCGCCTTATCAGTCGGGCGCATGCGGGAGGCCAAAAGTTTTTTTTTCTGCATCATCTCCTTATCGATCACGATAGTACTTATTTATCGCCCTGGCATTCCCCAAACCACCCACGCAACTCCCCAGCGCACCACCGGCACCATGATGGCCACTAACACTTCACCTACGCAGCCGACCTGCCAAAATTGTACGACGTCGACAACTCCGTTGTGGCGTCGCGACGAATTTGGCTCCGTGCTCTGTAATGCCTGCGGTCTCTTCCTCAAGTTGCACGGCCGCCCGCGACCCATCTCCTTGAAGACCGACGTTATCAAGAGCCGTAATCGCGTCAAGACGATTCGACCCGATCTTGCAGCCAAGAAGAAGGTATTGTCCGCCCTATTACACGTCCAACGCCGTGACCAAAAACAATCCCTAACTCCTTTTTTTTATAGGCCCAACAACAGCAGGCTGCGAACTTTGGTCTTGGCGCCGATGTGAGTGGTGCCGCCCTATCGGCGCAGAATGCCGCTGCCGCAGCTCAAGCTATCCGTCGAACGTCGCAAAAGCCGAACGGTAATGAGGGATCCGACTCTCCCATCTCTCGCACCGGCACACCTTCCATGTACAACCAGGGACTGCCCTCATTCATGGTTGATGACCCATACCAGGGCGGCAGCTTCAACGGGACTTCGGAGAACGGCGATCGAGATACGCCGCAAACTCACGAACAGCTGATTGCTCACAACTCTAGTCTCAAGACCAGAGTTAGCGAGCTTGAGGTTATCAATGAGCTGTTCAGGGGCCGACTGAGCCAACTCGAGCAACAAGAAGCAGCCGCCCGACACGGCCAAGAAATCGCTGGTGTTGAACAGACGCAGCTTCGGACGCAGCTGGATGCAAGCCAGGAGACTGTAACCCAACTGCAGACCCAGCTCGAAGATAGCCACCGCCGAGAGAATAATTTGAAACGGCGCTTGGACGAGCTTGAGCTGGAGCTGAAAGCAGTCCAGGATGCCCTCGATGGTGACGTAGAGCGCCCGAACAAGAAGCCCCGTATTGGGAACGAGGTGCCTGCAGCAGTTCCTACACCAATGGCAGAGGAAGAACAGCCAGTGCCTCAAGCCGAACCCCAAGCCGAACCCCAAGCAGAGCAACCTGAAGAGCAACCTGAAGGGCCAGTTGTCAAAGAAGAGACGATGACAGAACCACCACCAGCGGAAGAGCCGGCTGCCGAGGAGACTATCAACGAGGCCGCTGAAGAGACCAATGAAACGATTGACGAAGCCTCTATCGAAGATGCGGTGCCTGCAGCCTCAGCATCCTAACAAGGACAGCGTCATACTCATGATAATGACTTCTTTTCCTTGATTATCATCACGACGAGTCATCCACGAAGGCCGTGTCTCCCCTTTTTCGGGCGTCTTGCGTGGGTCTTGCATCTTGCTGACCTATGCGACATATTACAGTAATATTTTGGCATACGACGAGGTGAGCTCGTTGGCCCTGGTTGTATGCAACAATATGGACAGTTGTGGATAACACGACTGTTTTGTATTATTTATTAATGCACGTCATGTCTTTTTTTTTCTGGGTTATTGACCGCCTAACAAGGTTCATGTGGATGGAATTATAAACCAAAATGGCGCAGGAAAACTGGGAATAAAAAGCAAATGAATTGATACCATTAGATACCTTCGGACGAGGGCCTTGTTCCTGTCGTGTTAGCACAGCCGCCAGTGACAGGGCAGTCGAGAAGACGGGGAGTTGTTGGCGTATAGGGTCTCAAAGGGTATCGACTAGAGCGGATTGCATAAAAGTGCTCGACTATGAATTTAAATCTTGAGTGATGGATGCTTGAGCCAACTTGTGTGAGAATCACTTGCCGTAATCTCGCAGCTGTGTCATGCAAAAACATATTTGTCACAACGTACACTTCTTAATCGGCACTACAAAAAATAACGAAGGAAACAATTCGAAGATCAAATCAGCCGTCTATAAATGAGGTGTCGTTGCACTACACACATCAACGACCCGGCTTATGCTAGTATTGACTATTTGTTTACCTCAGCCACCAGGAGTGGATCTGCATCTCCCGTCTTCAGATCGGGCTCACTCTCAACTCACTATCACCATCACATGACGCGAAAGCACCAATGTGAAAAACTCATTATACTACTACTACTACTATCTGAAGTATTGTGATCCTTTTCAAAGCCTCCTCCAACAGCTACCTCGATCCATCTCCGTCTTCCCCACAGCTCCGTGCTCAAAATCCCGTTGCGCCACTTCAATCCTACAAACACCACCCAGTCGCGCCGCGCTCGCCTTCTTCACCACCCCACCGCAAACCTCTGTGCATCACAACCAACCTCGCCTCGCTCATAAAACCCAGTACTGGTAGTATATCCAAAACCCAACGCCATGCCTCCCACCATCGCCGCACGCGGCGGCCCCCAGTCATCCCGTCCACACAGCTCCGGCGCAAGCACATCAACACTCCCCAGCTCCAGAGGCCCAGGCAAGGGCAAGGGCAACGGGGTCGCGGGCAAAACCCCCTTTGCCAAAGGCAGAGCCGCCAGACAGTATGCCGTGCATCTCGTCTTTTTCCCCCTCGACGCACCCGATACTAACCTACTCAGCCGCAAGATCTTGCGCGACACCATCGACGGGATCAGTACGTCTTCCCCCCCAAGGAATGTAAAACGAAAGGGGAAAAAAAGCTGACAGCCGTCAACTAGCGAAACCTGCAATACGGTACCTCTAACAAGCTACTTAAGGACGCATCGCGAATGGAGTGGTGAACTAACGCTCGAGGGTAGACGACTTGCGCGCAGGGGCGGCGTCAAGCGCATCTCGGCCGACATCTACGACGAATCCCGCAGGGTGCTTAGGCTGAAACTAGAAGAGGTACGTGACCTTTTTTTTTTTTTTTCTTTTTTTTTTGTGATTGTACATGTTGCTGACGGTTGTAGATCCTGCGCATATGTGTCGTATACGTCGAGCACAGGCAGGCAAAGACGGTTACTGTCGATGATGCAAGTTTTTCCCCTCCTTTTCCGAGAGGGCAATCTTGCGCGCTGAAATAGCTAATTGCTTCTCAGGTGATCTTTGCCCTGAGGCAAATCGGCAGGCCGATTTACGGGTTTGACTTTCCCACGGATCGACAGAAGTGATGTGTTTCTCTTTTATACAAAGACACTTGTTTTCCGTCGCGACAAGGGGGTTGGTTTGGGGGCATTTAGCATGTTTGGATTTGCATCGATATACCTCACCTCGATGGCCATGTCAGGGTCTAGTATAGCGGACCGGACAGATATTGGAACAGGTTTAGGAGGGTCCTTGCTTCTATTTGGCTTGTTGGCATTACTTTGTGTTCTTTTTTTTTTTTTTGCGGGGGAGATATATTGGCTTGTATTGCCCGAGGATTCTTGAGGATGATGACTTGCTTGTTTACACCATCTGCTGTTTGTGGAGGGTATGATGAGTACTTGGCAGGCTTGCGCACACTGGGATTATAAAGCATATTGGCCAGTTGTTCATCAAGAAGACGTATCATGAATTAACGAAAGTTATTTAAAGACTTGGGTATCAAAGAATGACCAAAAGTAACCGCCATGCTTGAAAGGGAAAAAATCCCCAAACAGAATGACACACACACACACAAACCATTCTATTAGAGAATGAAAGATCATCACCTCTTCTTCTTCTTGGCCAGATCCCACTCCGCCACAGCCCCCTCCAGGGCCTTGGCTGCACAAACTTCGTCCTTTCGAAACGCCTTATTAAACATGGCCGGCAGCAACATGGTGCTATTGGCATGCTCCAGCGCAAACCCAACCTGCGCGTCCTTTCCACACCTGTCCCTAGCCAAACGGACCGCCTCACGGAGCAACTTCTTGCCGACCCCCTGGCCGCGATACCCGGGTTTCGTGGTCCACGCGCGGATGACGCCCTTCCCACCTCGCAGACTCGCACTGCGGCTGCGGTTCTTGCGCTTGGGATTCGTGGCGGGCGCTCGCTTCGGCTCGAGCCGCAGAACGACGGCACCGACCAGGTCCTCTCCCATTCTTGCGCCGAGAATGATGTCATCTTCGCTGCCAAAGTCGGCGCGCAGCCAGTCCTCACAGCCCATCCTTTCTGCGAGGGTGTCGTAGCCGCTTGTGAGGAAGCGAATGGTGGCCATGTAGATCATTGTGATGCCGCTGACGAGCATGAGGGCTCGGCTTACGTCCCTGCTGGGTATGTAGACGAATTGGTATATGGCCATGTGGGCAGCTGCGACGGCTGCGAGGCAGAGCGGGTGCAAGACGACGGCCTTGGAAGCGCGGTGGCGCATTTCGGAGACGGAGTCGGCTACGAGGCGGAGGCCGTCGAGCTTGTCATTTTGGGATTTGAGGGCATCGAGGGACAGGGGCGGGATGTCGTCGATGGGCGCGAGAGGCGGTTCGCTGGAAGCAGCGGGAGGAGATGGCGACGGCGGCTGGAGCTGAGCCGGTTGGGGAGAAAAGGGTTCCAGATATGGCGTGTTGTAGTTGGAAGAGAGTGCCGACGGGGACAGGGCGAGGTTTGCCCGCAGAAAGGTGAAGAATGCTATCGAGGTTGGATTAGCGAGTGCAGGCATGAGATGAAGCTACCAGACCGCCCATGCGGCCTGGCGGAAGTGTGGTGGTATTCCGTGGCTGTCCATGTCTGTCTGTGATGTCGGCAGGGATGGAAGGATGTGACAGGCGCGCGCGACAACAGCGGCATCAAACAGAATGTTTTGTTTCGTCAATGCATGAATACGAGTCGCAAAACGCAAAAACTGGGTTTCTCTAGCCCATGCTGGTTTCAAGTGACTCGAGATAGCCAGACGGTGGGAGGGATGCATGGTGCGGTCCAGCATGGGCAGCTCTGGTGCAGCTCCCCAAACAGCCAAAACAAGCTCCAGACCGCCTCAGGGCCCGCAGGGCATCCTGGATACCTTGGACATGGAGTTCGACGGGTAAAGTCGAGCTGTGTCAGGTTGATGAGGATTTGCATTAACCGCACGCAGCAGCATGGCAGCGTTGGCCGCCGTGGTAGGTCGTGGTCGTGGGGGGAAAAAGACGACATCAGGGCGTCAAGTTGAGAATGAAGAAAGGTGAAAAAAAAAGTGAAAAAAATGCCTGGCTTACCTGCACTGCTGCGCAGCCCCGGCACGACGCCGACTCGCGTGGCAACCGATGCCGGGCCGCAGTTGCTCAGATCCAGCTCTCGCACGTAGCCACGCTCCATGGCGAGCAAGAAAAAAAAGAAGAATATAAAAAGGAGTAGTTGACGGCGGATCAAAGTCCCGCCAGCCGTCTGCTTGCACACGCACGCTCCGTACAAGAAAATAAGCAGGTGTCGTATATTAAACCGTCTATTCCGTAGCGGTGGAGAGCAACACACGCCTGTTGGGCTGCACTCCCCAGTCCCTTCATGGAAGGGAAGCAGAGAAATAAAAGAAGCCAAGAACACAAAAAAAAGAAGAGGGATTATGGCGAGAGAGAGAGGAAAGAGTAGATAAAAGGGCAGAAAAGGAATCAAAGGGTTAAAAACGTAAGTGACGAATTCCAGACATGGAGCCGCAACGCACGGCGTTGTTTGGCTGGCGCCACCTCCGGCTTTCCATGTCACTCAACGTTTGACTCGGCCTTGTCTTTGGAGGGGTTTTTTTCTTTTTTGTTCCCTCGTGTCTCAGACTCTGCCAATGGCCCTCCACACACCTTGATACGTTGACACGGATGCTGCCATTGGATAGATGCTCTTGCAACCCTCGGTACCGACACGCTGGGTCTGGCTGGTGGTCGTCACCTAGGTCTAGAGTCTTGTATGCATGTACATACATAATACATACATACGGAGGGCATACGCGGCCCCGTCCAGAAGCTGTTCACGGTCCTCTTGCTGGACAATGGCCAGCAAAAGCCACGTCGATAGTCTGAGGCGGGCGGCACGGCGGGCGGCACGCGGAAGGGAGGGAACTGTCGTCTCGCGTGATTGACCGTCACTTGTACGAATCCGCAAGCCGATAGAGAGACGATCCATGCGTCGACTGCGCCGGCGGATAGCCGATCAATGGATGACGACGCAAAGGAACCAAACCAAACGGCATCGGTTCGTGATTGGCGAATTCGTGCTTGTTTCTTTCTCTGCGCATGAATCAGGACAAGAGTCAAATCAGGGTTTTGTCTCTCAACTTGCATCTTCGTCCTGTATCCTGCGCCTTTGTCTGTCCGCCCTGGCCAACCTGCGCCATCCTGTAAAGACAAAAAAGGGCGGGTTCACATGATGGACCGTTGAGCAGCGGGCCATGGCAAAGCCACCTGCTCCATACCGCCATCATCGTAGGTGCCCATGGTGACGATCACACCGTCATCATCGCAACGGGCTTCACTAGCAGATATGTGAATTGCGTCAAAAGGGCAGGCAGCCCCTCCTCCCCCCAGCTGCCCCTTCCTTGTCTCTCCCTTGCTCCCTGGCACCTGCCTTCAATGTTGCCCTGTGCTGGCCTGGCCCCTATCGCCGCGGGCTGCTTGAATTGACGGCGGAAGTGGTCATGTATGTACATATTGCACAATACAGGAACCAGATAAGCACATCTTGTATCGCCAGCAAAGATAATCTTGACCACCCCCTACAACAGCACCGAGGTCGCTTGCGTGGCGTCCATGGCGTCCCCAGAGCATCAAACGTGCTCACCACAACCTCGACTGGGCTTGCCGCACCAACATCCAGCCCCTCATCCTGACGCAACATTTTGACCCCAGATGCTCTTTTTTGCCGGGGATCTTTTTTGTCTTTAATAATAATTAAAGTAATGATAATGTATTTATCATGGAGGACCATGCAACATACACAACTACCGAGTATTATTAACCCCCTGCTGCAGGCATTCATTCCCCACGAGCGGACAGTCATCGCAACCTAGACATTCAACAGATCAGCAACGGGCACGTGCTTGTGTCGTCCCAGCCTCACCAGCATGCCGCCCGGGAATCCTACTGGTCGTTGCTCCGTACTAACAATGATATTCCTTGTTGAGAGCCACCACCACCATTTCGACCCATGAGGGGGCGTTGAAGAAAGGCATTCACGACCAATCAGCCGGCTTCACGGCGGTGCTGGGCCTGTACGGACGATTCAAGAACCAACTGTCACCGCGCCAAGCGATGCACCTGCAGGCTTGCAGATGCAGTACTAGTCGAGACAAGGCCGTCAATGTTGATAACACAAGTGCCATTCATTTGCCCGCTACTCCGCGGCATGTGGCCTAATGCTCCTGGTCTATTATGCCTTTTGCAACCCCCAACCACCATTGACCGTCGAATGGTTAGTCAACTACCCAGCTATAGACCACGCAACACATGGATTGCTTGTCACTTCAACTTCATCTACAGGGTAGGCGTACGGAGACGCGGTCACATCGTTCTCTTCCGCTCTCCAAACGGTAGTACCGCTAGCATTACAACTTTTCTGGATTGTTTGGTCCTTCCAATCACACACTCATACCACTTCCCAGCTCGTAAGGTCCAGAAGCTTTTTTTTTTTTTTTTTTTGGCCAAATGGGTACGTACCTAGTAGTGCTCTGTAGAAGAGATCGTGACTTTCGCCACGTGATAAAGGCATTTATTTTCTCTCGTGTTCATATCTCTTCGTCTTTCCCACGCCACACGCTCCTCAATCCGACAGGTAAGTTACCGGCCGTTTCTCAGGGCTCCACGACCATGAACTCATTTGGGTGATGGCCTTGCCATTCTCTGCAGGAGGTACCGTTAGACCACGTCCACGGCGTCTCTAAAGAACCCGCCGACCCATCACCCCTACGACCACAAGCAACAAACGCCAGCGTCATACACTTGCAACCGGCCGCCATTGCAAGTACGACGGTGGGCTACCATTGTTATGACTCGCAGCCTCCTCATTTGCTTTTCCTAAACCAGATGGTCCGAATCAGCGTTTCGAGTGATGCCTTGAAAAGCACCAACGACGCCGAGAAGCAGGGCAAGCGCCAAGTCATTGTCCGCCCTTCTTCCCAGGTGATTGTTAAATCCCTTGAGCTCATGCAGAAGAAAGGCCATGTTTCAGAGCTCGTGGTGGCAAATTGTCGTCTAATTTACCACCGGTTCGTTCTCGCCGTCCCCTAATAGCTCTTGTGAATCGTCTTTGGTCAAGACCCTGTTCTATGTTAGTGTCAACAAGTGCGGCGTCATTAGTCCTCGTTGTAACGTGCGACTGGTAGATATGGAGAAATGGGTTGTTCGACTGCGGCCTGCCCGCCAGTTCGGCCACGCCGTGCTTACTACGTCACTGAGCCTCCTCCATCCAGCATGTCTTTTTTCTTCTGTGCTGTGTAGAACTGCCAATTTCGCGCGTAAACGCTCCTTTAGCCTTTTTCGGGCGCTACTGCCATGGTGATGCTGATCCTGTTTGCGCTCATATACGGCCCAAGGTCCAGGTAGAGCAGGTCCATTCTGCGCGGGCGGCGTAGGTTCAAAGCCAACCACAGCAGGGTGACTGGCCAACACTTTACAGGAGGCATGATGGCGGTCTCCGTATGCACGCGGACAGCTCCTTTGGACTCATGGGGAATCTTTTCCGCAGCCTGTCTGTATCTAGGAACAAGGCAGCAGAATTCCGTCGAGGAACCATGGGCACGTGGTTTTCTGGTAACCTCGAAGCTATACATGTAGCTGATTTTCAGATTCTGTTGCATTTCCAGGCTTGGAGAGGCCAGTTCTGTCAAACTACTTGCTGGAGCTCTCTGCTCGTCTCGGAACACAGCCTCTATTTCGTCCGCGGTAATTGAACTCTTGCCGTTGATATGAGAAAACGGCTAAGTAAATAAAATTCAACACAAAGAAAGACACTGGGCAGCGAGGACCATGATGGGAACATATTTGTGCTATGAACCCGTCGGTTGACGTAGAAAAGAAAGGAAAGAGCCATTCACTCCTCCATGTTTGTGAACGGAAACCATCAATTCATCGACTAGTGGCCCCGTTTTTACCCCAAACTCGCCGCGCGCGCCCCCACACGTCTACGGACAGCCCTACGATGCGTCCGAGCCAAAGAGAATGCGCGTCAGACTACCAACTTATGTACGTACGTTTCGCGGGGTTGACATTTTTGTAGCCGTATTGAGTAATTTGTGTAGCCACCATATAAACCTTCAGGGTCACATGTAGTACCGATTAAAACGAATCTAAGCATCGCAAGTGCCTCACATTTGACGCGATCCGAATAATAGCCCCCTCCCCCACCCCCAGCGAGATGGCACCCACACGTACCCAACCAGCCAGCCGGCCCCACCACGGGAAGATACCTGGCATGGTATGATTGCAACAGACATTCTGCTGGCCATCCAGCCTCATCAGCTCAAAAACATCTGTTCGGGTCACAAGAACCGCTCATACAGAAAGAGCCGGCTGTGGCTCTATGAGACCTGTGGAGCAGAGCAGAACCAAAGGTCCCAAGCAATAACGTGTGTATGTATTTTCAGCATGATTTAACCCTAACCCTCTTATAGTGGAGCTGCTATCGGCCAAACTACTGCACGAGAGTGTAGATGACCCGAATATTATTGCTGGCGTACCTAACCTGACCTGATTACTAGTGCTCTTACTATCTTTAGATCTACTCCGTAGTCTGGTACGTATGTATTGTGACTCCATGTCCGCACCACCACTTACGCCTGATCGTTTGCAGGATTAGCGCTGGTCTGTTTCGGCTGCTCCCGCATATCTTGGGGCACAAGAACTCCTTGTGATTGGTCCAGATGGCGGCTGTCAAAACCGCTGCGCTCCAGACGCCACAACGGTTCATGTTGCAAATGCCAACTACTACTAGGAGCATCCATTGTCCGCAATCAAGTCGGAAAATAGGGGCTCCATCTGGTAACGACGGCTGCAGCGAGTTTATGCATGTTGGTCCAGATGTGAGCTGAATTTAGAATAAGACAATCAGGAGGATAGCATGACCAACAGAAGCTGTCAATTGTAGGCACCGTTTTGTGATTTGCTGTTAAGGCCCACACAGTCACGTTTGAGGCACTGTTGCTACGCCGGCTCCTTCTAAAGTGGCTAGAACACTCATTTGCCAATGGGTAGCTCTTTCCCTTTCACACAATGATCAAGCTCTTTTCTTTTCTAGCTCTCTTGCCATACAACTTGTCAGTTGCATCACGAGCTCTTGCGACCTCATCGTAGATCCCTCCGTGCGTTCCCTCACATTTGCCCCCAATAGCCAGATATAATTGACCAACCAAACTTTCACCCCATCAATACGTGATGCAGACTCACCCGGTCAACGCGGCCGAGATTGTGCGTGCCCCTTTTAAAACGGGGTACGTACCTCGTAGATAGCTTCGTCAATTGGAATTGATCATCATCAATCTGTCCAATCCAATAATCTAATAGCACTTTGTGGTGTCCAAAGTCCCTGGTTTCCTCCCACCTTCGTGTGCCAACGAGGCTCTCTTTATACGAAGCAGCGGTGAGTGTTTGTGTGCCTGTGCTCCACTTTCTCTCGTGGTCAACCTCCTTGTCCAACTACATATGTATCGTCGTGTTCATGGGCCAGTTCCTTCCGTGACGTCGTGAACACCGGCATGACACTACATTGTCATTGAAACTTCTCTTCTGTTGCGCAGAGACCCGGAGGGCTCTGCCATCCTCGCAGCGCAATGGCCATCTCACTGGACTCTTCTGTCCTAGATCAACTGAACACTACCAAGGCAAGAAAGCTTCATAAGCTGACAGACAGACTGAGCGCCTATGGCGTTGGCAGGACTTTGAACCTCCCGCAGATCATTGTTGTTGGCGAGCAGTCAGCGGGAAAGTCATCCGTCTTGGAAGCCCTTTCTCATGTCCGCTTTCCCGTCAAAGGAGACCTCTGTACTCGATTCGCAACAGAGATTGTCCTTCGTCAGGCGAGGCAGACCCGTGTGCATGTTAGTGTCCGATTCGACGACAAGTCCAAGCCATCTTGGACGAGCCAAAGAGTGGGATTCACCGAAGATGATCTTCCAGACATTATCGAAGAGACCAAAGAAGCCATGGGAATAGATTCCACAGGCAGAGACTTCTGCAATGATATTTTGCGGCTAGAGATCGAGAGTCCCAACCTGTATCCGCTGACTCTCGTGGACCTTCCCGGACTGTGCGAGACAGCAACCCAGTCCATGCGAGGCAAGGAAACCGTCGACCAGCTTGTGCAAAGCTACATGAGGCACAAAAACAGCATCATTCTAGTTGTCGTCGCTGCGAACAATCAGCTCGCCAACCAGATTGCTCTGGAAAAGGCTAAGGAATTCGATCCGAATCGCGAGCGAACACTGGGCGTCATTACCAAGCCTGATCTTACATGGTCGGGAACGCCCGAGGAAAGCGACTACATACAACTAGCCAGGAACCAAGACGGAGCACATAGGCTTAAACTCGGTTGGCACGTCTTGTGTAATAGAGCAGACGATGGAGACACCTTGGGCACCCGTGATGCCACCGAGGCAAGCTTTTTCGAGACGACTGAATGGGATACGATTTCAAAACACCATCGTGGGATTGTTAGTCTGCGCAAGAAACTAAGCGAGGTTCTTTCTAGCCATGTCCGGCAGAATTTGTCTGCTTTGATGGATGACATAGGAGGAAAACTTAGGGAGAGGCAAGAACAACTTGGCCAATTAGGAGAATCGAGGCCGAGTTCTAAAGAGATGCGGTCATTTCTCCTCAATATCTCACCAAGGTTTCAAAAGCTGGTACAGGACGGCATCTATGGCAGATATGACGATCCGTTCTTTGGCGATTTAGGTGATACAAACCACAAGCTACGCTCCCAGCTGAGAAATTTTAATCTCGCCTTTGACTTTGTGCTAGCAACAAGGGGATCCAGGATTGCAATTGCGCCAGACGATGACTGGCACAATGCGCAGCTCCAGGCCCCCAGGTTTCTCAAAAGTTTTCTTGACGAGTATCCGTACGATTTTCCCCAGCCAGAGTCCGTTAGCAGGGAGTCCCTCAAGAAGTACTTGGAGAGTCAAGCGGCGGCCAACCAAGGCTGTGAATTCTCAGGCTCCCACAACGCGGATCTCATTGTCCGACTATTCCAGACACATGCTTCCCCTTGGAAGGATATCGCTGCATTCCACATCAAGCAAGTCACGTTAGTGGCCAAGGCGTTTGTGGACCAACTGATTCGCCACATTGTCGGTCAGTCGGAAGGGAACCCGACAATCGAGGCTATCCTTTGCGGCTGCGTTGACCAATTCTTTGCAGAAAAGGAGAAGCTTCTCTCGGACAAACTTGAGGAACTTATCCAGCCGTATTCAAGGGGCTATGCCATGCCTCTGGGCGTCGAGTTTCGTCAAATGGTTACGAATAGAACTAGCAAGCGTCTGGCTAAACGGTTGACCGAGCTGTCGGAGAAACAGACAAATCCTACAGATGCTGGCAGATTCAAGAGACTCAGGAGGGATATGCTAAAGGAAGCCGCCTCTACGCTTGATGCAGTCGATGGAGGACAGTTTGGAACGGAAAAGATCATTGACATGACGCTGGCGTATTACGAGGTGAGCCGCTCAGCTTATAACGGCCAATTCGGCATTGTACGGTTTACGACTAATTTACAAAGATGTCTCGACGAACGTTTACGGACAATGTTATCAACCTAGCTATAGAAGGCTGTCTCATTCAAGATTTGCCAAACATTCTCACGCTGACCCAGGTGGACAAAATGGAGAAGGGGCAAGTCAACAAGCTAGCGGCTGAAGGGAAAGGTACCCGAACTCGCCGGAAACACCTGCGTGCGGAATGTAACGTCTTGCGAAAAGGCCTCGAGCAGTGCCGCAAATACAAACCCAGAGGCGTGACTGGTAAGTTCTAAACACGATTTGCCTGTGCTATATGCTAAGCTGCTTGGATTCAGGTGTGCCATCCTCAGAGTCAGGAATTCAGCCGGTAACCGAAGGGCGCGGTGCCTCAGGTAAGTAAGCCCAATCAAGGGCAAGAACCTGGAGTCTGGTGGCATAACTTTGAATCGATCAATATTGCTAACTCACTGCAGGTTCCAGTACGCTGTTTACTTCACCAGCCGGACAGGCAGCTCCAGACAGGCATCTCGCGCCTCCTGCGACTGAGTCACTCACTGTGTCCGCATCGTCCAGAAGACCAGCATCTCCGTTGTCCCCAAATCCGTCGGCCGCACAAGGCAAGTCGACACCCCTTGTTCCAATGTTGTAATCATCAAATTTGGCTCACATTGATGAAATGCAACCACTTAATAGTCTATTCTAGCGTAATACAGATGTATATAGTACTGACATTTTCCGTAGTGACAGTCTCTAGCACTGGGAGTTCGTCTGGCGGAGCGGCGTCTTCCACCACATCGACAAGCTTAAATTCTGGTGGCCTATTTGGATCGAAATCTCAATCTTCTGCTGCATCAACAGGAGCTTCAACTTCTGCTACATCAAGAAGCTCTGGTTCTGATGGACTGTTTGGATCGAAACCCTTTTCTTTTACTGTACCAACATCGTTTAGTACTATCAGCCTATCTGGTGGAAAACTCTTATCTTCTGAGAGCAAAAGTAAGTCTTCACCAATCCTATACATGGGTGCTAGCTACGGTCGCTACGGCTGGCACTTCAATCTCTTCAATCAGCAGCTCTCTGACGATGCAGGCTGGCAATCTCAACCGCATCAGGTGACTGAGGGGGGGATAATACACCGCTTCCAAAGTATTTATGCGACCCAAAAGTGGAAGCTCTTTTCAAAAGAGGAGCTAAGGTGGAAATTTTACCAAGAACATCGACGATGGAAAGAGACGGAGCTTTTGGATCATCTTCTTTGAATTTGGAAATGATGCGTTTTCCGGATCTTTCCCGTGGAAAACGAGACTTGCGTGACTATGCATCCTTGCGTTTACTATTTGACCTAGTTATATATACTTGAATTTGGCGAGCCCGTTACCAATGCTCTGTTGCAGAGCTCTCCTCTGGTGGCAAGTTGCAGTACTCCGAGACTCGATGAAACTGTAATGATGCCGGTTAGCAACGAGGACGGACATGTTTCAGCAGAACGGGAAATACATGGTACGCTTTGAAGCTCAATATTCAAATCATTCAGCTGAAAGACCAATCTCAAAATTGTTCCACTGAGTTCTGAAACTCTGGATAGAGAAAGCCCAACAAGACCCGGCGACATGCCGCCATAGTGAAAAAGCGCAAGCAATCCCGCCGAGACATTGATAAACGTCGCAAGCACGTTGATTCTAAATTTGAGCCATTGGTCACACTGATTCTGTGCGTCAGCAGCGTCAGCATAATCGAGGAGCTGCTCGTCGAGTTTCTTGGTGAAAATGTCTACCATGCCGCTTCGCTGACTGCTGTGTTGGCGTAATACTCGGGGTGTATAGCTTTTGCGTAGCAAGTTCTGTGAAGCAAAACAAGGTACAGCTGAGAGTTGGCGATTTGTCTCACAGGTGAAAGAGCGAAATCGTCAATACCAAACAATGCAGCTGGTGAAATAGTTTCCGCGTGGCCATAACCGCCGCCTGATTCTTGACTGTATCGTACCGTTGAATTGGGCCACGGGATGACTGCGTCTGGCTGCTTATTGACACACACTTGCTTCTTGGGACACACACTAGACAATTTTCACCACATGCTCGTCGGGGACTGTTGACTTATCCCGAGACCCCATGCCCTTAATTCTTTGCCTTGGCCGTTTGCACATTGAGAATGCAGCACAGCGGCGTGTTGACCGACTCTGCTGAGGCCGAGGCCTTCCTCTCTGGCCAGAAAGAGACCATGACCGATGGCGTCGCCAACCAGAGACTCCACCTATTTTCTTTACATGCCATGAATGTCTTGCTATCCTGTTTATTAATTTGCTCGCTGGCGAGTAAGTCGCAGCCCCGGTTCTCTGAGTTCTATTGTAAGTCATTCCATGAGATGGCAACACCAATACTGTAGCTAGTAGTAGTTACATCGATATGTTCGTTTCTTCAGCCGGCGTAATTGGGATGCATTCCGCTTCTTGTTAGCACAGAGAAGGCTAATTACTACCGGTGGTGCAAAGATGAGCTGCGAGTGATGGGCGCCTTGCAAACAATGGACAAACGTCTACTAATACTGCATCATCTAGTCACAGTTGTATAAATGGATGTTTATCGTAGCCAGAAATTGTTGCGGGACTGGCATGGGAAGACGTCGACACAGTTCAGATGCCAGCCGCGTTTAGTTGCAGTCCGGTGTTGATGGAGCAGAAATTTCCACAGACAAGGAGGAAATTGTCTGCAAAGTGCTTGTACTGGCGTCTTTGCCAAGCCAAGGCAACTATCTATCTTCACGTTCAATGACAAAAAGCTCTACGCCACCAGGGTGTCAATACTACTCACTATGCGTCCCGAATGACATAACGAAACAGGCCGTCTTGAAGCTGCCGGTATCCGGCACGAAAACTCGAGTTGAAACGCCCAGTTGTCCCTGTTCAATGCTGTCCGTCCCACAGCGCTCGAAATCGGCCATTCTGGTCCTGCAAAAGAGTCTCTGGCTTACCGACCTCGGCAACCGTCCCGCCATCCAATACCACTACCTGATCATACTTGAGAACCGTGTTCAGTCGATGTACTACAGAGAGGACTGTGTGGTGGGCAAATTCCTCTTCAAGCACCTTGACCATGAGCTCTTCAGTCCCCCGATCAACCGCACTCATTGCCTCGTCTAGCACAAGCACCGCGCTGATATCCTTGCGAATAAGCGCTCGAGCGAGGCAAAGGAGCTGTTTTTGGCCCTGTGAGAGACCCAGGTCTGACACATCGCTGTCAAGGCCCCCCTTTGCACTTATTTTATCCCAGAGTTCGACTTTTTGCAAGCAAGAGATGATGTGCTCGTCAGACTCGCCCGCTTCCATCTCATCCACTCCCCCACCAGGGCAAATGTTGGTTCGAAGTGTCCCCGGGAAAAGCATCGGCTCCTGTGGCACCGCAATGAGGCGCGGCCGCAAGACATTTTGCGGAATATTCGAAATGTCTATTCCGTCGACCGTAATTGTGCCCGAGTCTGGATCTAACAGCCGGAACAGGGTGAGAAGCAGCGACGACTTTCCACTTCCTGTCCTGCCGCAGACCGCAACTTTCTCCCCCTGTCGTATCGACAGCGTGACGCTATTGAGAGCTCGGTAACGGTCGTTGCCGCTGTTGGCAGAGTAGGACGCAGTCACTTTATTAAATTCCACCAGCCCCTGAGACGGCCACTTCTCAGGCGGCTGCCATGGCTGTGGGCTCGTCACCTCCTGTGGTGTATTTGTTTCAAAGCTCTTGAGCCTCTCTATCGCGCCCAGAGAACCCTCAAGACTTGTCCAATGTGATATTAGCTCAACCAGTGCTGAGCTCAGACTAATGACATTGACTAATCCCAACGCAATAGCTCCAGCACTTGTGCCTGCTGGGGCCATGACTGCAAGTGTGATGAGAGTAACCGCGAGACTTCCAACAAAGAGTTCCAAGACAAGCTTAAGCCAGCATTGAGCCCCGAGGAGAAAATAATGAGGCTTCTGCGAGTTATCGAGCAGTCTTAGTGAAGTTTCTTCAAAGGCAGGCACCCACCCGTAAGCTTGGATGGTCGATATCCCATCAATAGTTTCCTTCAAGTGCGAATACAGAGGGGCGGTAGCCTCCAGATCCAGGTGCCGCAATTGACGAGATGTTCTCAGGTAGAATGCCTGTATGCAGTACACGACAATAACAATAAGCGGCAAGGCTATGACAAGATATTGTGAGCCGTAGAGCACCATGGCTGTGGATGTCAGGAGTGAAAAGAACCCTGGAACGGTTAGTTTTTGGTTGGATGTCAAACATTGAATGTATAGGCCTAGTTCGTACCGCTAACGCTCAGCCATAACCCAAGAGGCAGGCGCTGATTGATAATGTCGTGGTCTTTGCTGAATCTGTTTCCCAGTTAATCTTCATCTCCTCAAGATAATAGGAGGAATGGAGGGGTTACCAACCGGTTTATCAAGTCGCCTACATCGGTAGAAACGAAGAAGGACAACGGCGCACTGAGGCTCCATTAGTTACCTCAAATCAGGGTCAAGAAATAAGGTACATACTTCATGACGGTTTTGAGTAGGGCCAGGTGTAACTTCTTAACAGACGATGTTGTTACGTTGATTATGACAAACCTCTCCCGATTAGTTACTACCAATGAAGCGGGCAACAAATGACACCTACCAGATCGACCAACCGAATAAAGCCAGGCCTACGACCTCGGCAAGGGTATAAATACCAAAGTACCAACCATTGCTTGTTTTCGGGTTCTTCAAGTTGGCTGTCGTCCACATCATGAGCCAAATCTCTGTTTCCAGCGAGGCATTAGTAACTAGAGCAAACTCCATGGTTGCGACTCATACCTGGAAATATGTTCGTCAACGCATTTGCTGCCTCGCTAATAAGGAGTATCATCAATTTTCTCGTGCCAATTGCCTTGAAATAGTACAAGTACAGCGAAATATCCCCAGATGTCCGTATTTTGGAGTCGATTTTACCGTCAACGTCCTTTTGTCGAGGAGGCCTCGGAGCCGTTTTGAGTAATGTTCCTTTTTGAGCTATTTCATCTTCATGGGCTGAGCTTTCTTCTCTTGAGGACGATATTAAGGCTTGTATACCCGTAGAGGCCTTAAGTTCGTCCAATGGCCCCTGTATTACTTGGCCTGGCCCTTTATCCCCTAGTAGGATAACGCTATCTGGCCGGTCAATTAGGTGCACTGCGGCCATGTGCGTCAGCAAAACCTGCCCGGTATATCATTTCAGAACCAGAAATTTGGGAATCGGGATGCCCTACGAGCGTGAGTGGCAAGAATAACAGTGGTTTTACTTCCTCTGAGAAGCCCTTTTGGTGCGAAGACACGATTATACACATGGCGCTGGGTTATCCAGTCCAGGCCGCTCAAGACGTCGTCCATGACCACAACCGGTTTCCTTGAATATAATGCACGAGCCAGCGACTACCACTTATTAGAGGCGGATTTGCACGGGTCTCCGGCAGGGGGGAATCTTACTATGCGTTGCTTCTGGCCGCCACTTAAAGAAAGTCCGTTGGGCCCAATTAAGGACATGTCACCGTTAGGAAGTTGTGCCAAGTCCCGATCGAGTGCACATGCAGAGACCACTGTCTTATACCAATCATTATCCATCGCCGACTGTCCTAAGATATTTGATCTCACGGTGGCATTCATAAGCCATGGTGTCTGAGCACAATATGCAGCGCCAGCTCCGTATACTTTGAGATAGCCTTTTGTTTGTAATTGACCAAGCAATCCCCTCAAGAGAACAGTCTTCCCAGAACCGACCTTGCCAGCCACTAGTGTGAACGAGCCGGGTTGGATGGAAAGATTAATATCTCGCAAAACAGCTTCGTCATCAGTCTTGAATATAATGCTAGCGTCTTTGGCAGCGATGAGCGCGTCCCCTAGGAATCCGAATGGTGCCACAGCTCCGGAGCCAGTGCCTGGGCCTGAGCCATTCAGCTCTCCTGGGATTACATCATCGCTGTAACGTACTCTACTGTCCTCGCAAGTCATGATGAAGTCCTGCAATCTAGTGAAGCTCGCGAAAGAGCTTATCAAAGTTGGCAAGGAAAACATAAGCCAAGAGAGTGGCCCCGTGACAAGACCTAAGATGCTCATGGCAGTGAAAGCTTTCGCCACGGTGAACTTTTCGCCTGACTTAGACCCAAAGGAAAGAAGGGCGATGCCAAAAGTCAAGACGGGCGCAAACCTGGACGGTGTATTCCCTACGCAGCTGTTAGCCAAAAAAAAATCCCAGCCCCAATTGATTTTGACCGTGAATGTCGGTACCTAGCAAATTCATGAGAGTAATCAGCTTGCGGAAGAAAATAGACCTCTTCATCTGAATATCGTGCAGCCTAACAATGGCTCTGAGCCACGGTTCGACCAACCCGAGCATTTTTATTTCCTTCATTGATCCCAAAACACTACTCGTATTGCTGATTCTGTTTTGAGTGGCTTCATTACTGGCTTTTACAGCCGGTGCCATGTACTTGGACAGTTGAAATGTCCCTATGAATGAGACTACATAACTCGGTCAGTTATATTACAAGAGAAAAAGGCCATGTAGCAGGGGATCATACATAGTACAGCTATTGCAGGACCAACCGAGCCCCATCCCATTTGAACGACAAGAAACCAAAGAGCCAGGCCAAGTTCGATGGGAGTTGCCCAAAGCTCATGGATCTGTGTGAAAGCTCGTTCGATGACACCTACGTCGGTTGTGACCAATGTCAGAACAGCGGAACTTTCCTTGGCCCCTGATTCTAGGTCTGTGGCATTATCCAACAAGAACGACGTAAGGGAGACGCGAATTGCGGTGAGCATTCGATATACCTTTTGCTGGGAGAAGCTGTAGCCGATCTGGAACAGAAATGTTAATGCCGCGCCACTATTTTGACCATGAGAGTAGTCATACAGCAAGTCCAAGGTACAAGAAAACCGTCGCAGGGATGAGTGCGTAGCCTACTTCGGGAGAATAGGCTCCCTCAGTTCCCTGGTTTTGAACAAGGCGGATAACCCTGTTGATTAGAAACGGCTGCGACATCTTGAAGGCGGAATAGCATATCCTTGGAACCACCCCAGCAAGCAAAGCAGCCTTTGTAGAGCTGAGCAAGGTGCGAAGCAGTGCATGCTTCCCAGAGTCTCTGTAACGCGGCCAATTAAGATGCATTCGGTGCAACAAAGTCTCCGAGCGAAGCTCCAAGTCTAAAAGGTGCAGCTTTTCTACCGACAGAGTCGTTCCGTAGCCGGTCAAGAAGAGATCATTGAGCCACCACAAAAGGCTCCTACTGATGATTCCACTGGTAGCTTCAGGACCCAAGGACTCACCTTTGCCGCTGAGTATAGAAGTCTTATTCTGGGACTCTAGGAGTAACAAAGCGACTTTTGTTGCCAGCAATGCCGAGACGATAGTTGCCAAGGGCTGAGCGTTGTGAAGCAACCAGAGAGTTCGACAGTGCACTGAGTCAAACAATGACGAAAACAAGAGATAGACGCAAAGCATACTTGATGGTCTCACGGATCGATGGTGCTCCAGGTAAGTCAGCATGGTGATAATCGCAGCATCAAGTACGCCCAGACCTGATGCGACAAGCGTGACGCGTCTGGCAGGGACGACGACACCAATGTTTCTCCAAGTGACGAGCAAAGAGATTTGGAGCAATATAAACACAAAACAAAGGGCCTGGGGACGAAGTTAGTATTCATATAATGCTCCTTGCGGGATCTTGCGGCGGGAATCGAAGAATCAGGGCCAGGTGATCGCATACCATCTTCAGATAGAGGCCAAAACTGGCAGAAACCTTGGGTCGCTGACCAACAAGCCGAAAAATTCGAAATGGCACCACCATGAGCAGGATGACAGAGGGGACTATCTCGAAAACTACCAGTTCAAACAAGAGCGTGAAGTCGAAGCGCCCGCCGGGGCAATCAGCTGCAAATGGCCCGAATGAGCCATCGCAACTAGCAAAGCCGAGTCTGCGAAAGGCATGTTGATGGAATCCCATCCTCTTCGACCATAAGGAGGCAAATAGAAAACAATTGGCACCCGCCAATGACCAGACGCAAGATCGATTGGTTTGAAGGAACAGTTGGGTAGGACTGTTTAGATTGTGTGTTTGAGGCAAGAAAGCGAACTGGCAAAACCCGCTCAGACTCTCGCAGCTGTCCACTAGTCATTAGAATACATGCTTACAGAGACAGAACAACAGTTGATCTCCATCTGTTGGTTCTGCAAACTTGCTCAAGGGCTGACAAAATTGCTGTTGGTCGACGTCCTCAACACCAATGCGGGAAGGAGACGTAGGCGGCCAATAAAAAAGTGGGGTCTTGATGAAGCAAAGGTTCTTTCAACCCCAGCAGCGGCACGATGGAACATCGACGAGTGACCAAGGTAGTACAAATGCGGTGTTGTAACTACGGAATATACTACGAACAAGATCGGGCTGCATACTTTACGTTGGGTGGTGGTGGTGATGGTGGTGTACTTCGTTCCCCCCGACGGTTGCATCCACTTTTTAATTAAATTCGCGGATTTTTTTTCGTGCCGAGTCCCAAACTTGGGCGACATTTGTGACTTGGGCGCTTGTTGGCCGAGAGAAGAACGACATTGCACCAGATGTCAGAATGGCGCATGCGCACATCAATCACTCCAACATCCACTTCAAGTGGTCCAAAAACATCCCCCCCGTTCTTGCAGTCGAGTCAGGCGCCGAGCTCAACTTCGACCTCAAAGATGGCTTCAACAATCTGATCCACCCAGGCACCACTGCCGCCCAGCTCCGAGACCTCGACACCTCCCAAACAGACCCAGCCTTTGGCCCCGTGGCAGTCGAGGGCGCCGAGCCAGGCGATGTGCTGCGCGTCGACATCCTCGAGCTGACGCCCGCGCCGTACGGCTGGACGGCCGTCTTCCCCGGCTTTGGCCTGCTGAGCGACGAGTTTCCGGGGCCCCATCTCAACGTGTGGGATTTGAGCACCATCGCAGAGGGCTATGCCGAGTTCAAGAAGGGGATCCGGGTGCCTACCCAGCCCTTCCTGGGTGTCATGGGCCTCGCGCCCGCGCAAGACGGCGAGCTGAGCACGATTCCGCCCTACAACTGGGGAGGCAACATCGACTGCAAGCACATCACCACGGGGTCGAGTCTCTATCTCCCCGTACAAGTTGCCGGCGCCCTCTTCAGCTGTGGCGACGGGCATGCTGCCCAGGGGGACGGCGAGATCTGCGGCACGGCCATCGAGACCCCAATGAAGGCTCGCCTGCGTCTGACTCTTGAGAAGGACAAGCCCTGGGTCAAGTCTCCGCATTATCTGACTTCGCCCGAGGCCAAGACGCGCGCAAACAGCAATCGCGGCCAAGAGTATGCGGCTGTTGGCATCGACGCAAATCTATTGGAGGCAACCAAGAAAGGTGTCCGAGGTGCCATCGATTGGCTTTGTGCGGAGAAGGACCTAAGCAAGGAAGAAGCCTACATGCTGTGTTCGGTGGTTGGCGACTTGAAGATTGTGGAAGCCGTCGATATGCCTCACTATGCCGTCGCGTGCTGTATTCCTCTCGGCATTTTCGTGGGCGAGAAATAGACCTAGTTGCCATATTGCATCAAAGCCTCAAATCAAGAAAGCCAAGTATTATGACCCAAAACTCTACTGCCCGCCCAGCTTCGCATGCAGAACACATACTACTTTACTTTTTTGTTTCTGCTCGTCGAGTTGGTCTCAGCACCACGTTTTTGTTTTTCCCTTTGGCAACCATCCAACCGAGACAGTAGATGCCTAACCATGTGCGTCTTATGAGACCAAACTGCAGCCTACGCACTAGTTCCGAGTCGCAGTCCAGTCTCATCGATCGGGTGTGATCCAGCTATTATTAATGTGGCCAACGAGAGCGACAAAAGCTGGACCCTGCGAATTTGGTTCGCGAGCAGAGGCTCTCAGAATGCAGATGCAGATGCTGATGCTGATGCTGATGCTGATGTAGATGCAGATGGGCATCGACATGGGAGCCCAAAAGAATCCTAACCAATAGGCAAAAGCATCGACGTACTAGTAATCACCTGGAAACACTAGCGCACCCCGGAGTTTTGGTGTCATGGTGGCGCCCGCCTCCAAACATCCCATCACAGGAAGGGCGTTGGCCAGATCGGATTTTCAGGGTCCCTTCATATATCTGTTTGAGCAAGCCCTCGTCAACGTCAGCACCCATCTCTGTCTCTACTTTTCACGGGAAACTTGCGCTGCCACATGAACCCATTGTCCGTGACTATTTTTAACTCTCAGTCATAATTTCTTCTTTGGAGCGGGGAAAACGGAACAGCAAAGTAATGAAGGTCACATCGGTACGTGCCGTCCATCATCGTCATCCATGGAGCTTTCCCGCCTCATCACGCACCCGGTCACCCGCTGACAACACCTCCAGATATATGTTTATCCTATCAAAGCCCTTCGTCCAATTCGCCTCGACGATGCCCGTCTTACCCCCCAGGGCGTCCAGTATGACCGACGCTTCATGATTTGTCGCGCCGACGACGCAGACCCTTCCAAGCTCACCAAGGTCCAAATTGACAAGGTTTACCAGTGCGGCTTGTTCAAGCAGGAGATTGTAGGCGATAGCATTCACGTCTCGTATCTGACTCCCGAGGACCCTGTCGTTCCTACGCATCCGATGCAAAATGAGGTCCTGGAGGTCCCGCTCAGCCCCGACACATCTGATCTAGACACGGTAGATGTCGACTTACACCTGAGCATGGTCACTGCGTATCGAATGGGCGCCCGCTACGACGACTGGTTCACAGCCTGCTTCGGATTCAAAGCCGTATTGATCTATATCGGGGACGGAAGGCGGCCAGTCCTCGGAACCTATGCTCCCCAAACAGACGGCTCACCTCAGCAAAGAGGTTGGCTATCCTCCATATCCGGCTACGTAGCTGGGACATCGCGGCCCGCCAAGGACAAGCCGTGGCTTGCCTTCTCAGACCTGGCCCCCTTTCTCGTCGCCTCTGAGAAGTCCCTTGCCAACGTCAAGGCCAGAATGCCCTCAAGCGACGTCGCAATCACAGCCTTCCGACCCAACATTGTCGTCGACGGAGAATCAGACTTTGACGAAGATTTCTGGGTCGAACTCTCCGCCAATGACCAGCCGTTCCTCACCCTGACCAAGATGTGTAACCGCTGCCCGTCCCTCAACGTGGACTACGACACCGGCAAAATAGCCGAGGGCGAGAGAGGCACGGTCCTCAAGAAGCTCATGTCCGACCGACGGGTAGACACAGGTGCCAAATACAACCCCGTCTTCGGAAAATACGGCTTCCTGAACGAAGGACAAGAGAACATGGTCCTTGCCGTAGGCGACGAAATCACCGTAACCAAACGCGCCGACGAACGACCTGTTTTTGACTGGCCCCTGCGAGCACGGGGTGCCCAGCCGCAGTTCTATCAAACGTCCTAAAACTAAAAAAAAAATTGAATGGGGCGAGGGGTTGAAAGAAAAGGCTGACAATAGTGGCACTCAGAATTTAGAGCAATAAAGTGTTGTCGTGGAGAGCACGCCGGCCTGGGGAATGCAGTCTGCTCCTCTCGTGAGAAAAGCTGAACTTGCACAATCCGAGTTGTCTCACGCAAAGCGGAAACAGTTGCAGCCCCTGTTGCGCCCATTACACGCACGCCCCCGCTTTATTCTGTGCTGATCATTGTTTCAATGGCATTAATTCCACCGGGCCGTTGAGAGAGGGAAAACAAGAGACAACGAAGTCTCACTTGCTTCAACGTGTGACGCCGGGGAGTGAAGAGCCTCGGGGGAAGGGGGGGGGGGCCAAGTGAAGCCCAAAAACCCCATTACAATCGATTTGTACGCCAGGACAGGAGACGGGTGGTATTGTTCACCGAGCTTCGTGGGTCTACGCTGATAATGTGGATATTTTCTATTGAAAGAAATATGAAAAAAGGACAAAATCATCATAGGTTGGAGACAACAGAATGAATTGTATGCAAGAGTACTACTGCTTCAATGACCTAGTTTATGCAAAAAGGTGCACCCCAGGCTTGTATCGTACAATACTTGACTCTTCAGCCAACCGAGGCCAGAGAGACTGTGTCTAATTTCCAACGTCGAGCCCACGTCGAGCCCACAAGGCGTTCAAACGCGGGACTCAGACAGCAGCCACCAACGGTCAGTGTCACACATTGTGCCACCCAGCTGTTTGGATCTTGTATAGGCTCGGGTCTCGCGCCAGTTACACGATGCCTTCGTTTGAAGACTGCTCGGAGAAAGAACCAGGCGTTTGTGCTTTGCTGCCGTCGAATGGGATTGTGTTCCTCGGTGAAACCACGTATGTGCGTGGGACAAGAAACGTAGAGCATGTGTTACTCAAGTGTTTCTTTCTAGAACATATTTGACAGTTCCAATAAGGTGTCACAGATCAGTAGCCCGAATCTAAGTAGGAACGGCTGACGGCTCTGTGACAACAACTACATATGCATGCTCATGAAGGAACTGTAAATTTTACGAAGCAATTGGCTTGATCATATGTGTACCGGCAAAGAAAAACATCATCAAAGTCTTCGATAGCGCTACAAGACTGTTTCCATATTCATCATTACAGAATTTATCGCACACATGTTCCGTTGCAGCTTGGAAGTCACACAATATCATAAAATGTCATTTATATTTTTTTCACATCTAATATCCTGGCCTGGGCCGTAAATGCTATTCTAATCCCAAACACCGAGTAAATTCCATCATTGGTAGCAAATTCTCAAGTAGTATTCTTATGCCCACATGTGATACCGCGCGGCACTGTATTTGCCTGAGCTATCAGCGGATGAAACAATGTAAAACGAAAATTTCTATTTGAAAGATGAGAGACAAAAGAAGAGAGCCGGAAAGATGCGAGACGAAAGATGAATGCTCTTCATTGCCGAACGCCGTTGAAAAGTGCTCCGGGTACACAGAGGACGGAGCCGAACAAAAACCGCAGAACAGCCTAGCGTATCTGGATAGAGCACACTGTTGGTCGTGGCTCCTATGCGCTATATGTGGTGTGCAAGCTTTGACCATTGGCTTCTATGCCGCCTGTGTGCATGCTCTGCACACATGCAGCTTGCAGTAAACACACTCGAAGATCATCCAATGTGGCCCTGAACAACAGTATTTGCAAACCCATTGCACCAAGGTTGTATCACACTTGATAAGGCTGAAAGAATGAGAACACGAGTTTGCCATGGTGTCTGTTGTATTTGGCTGATAGGTTTCCCGTCGTTAAATGTTATTGAGCTTGGCAACCAACGCCGGTGATGACTGTCCGAAAATGTCGTTGTTTTCTGATTGTCCTTGGGCAAGCGTGACCAGAATGTATGGGAAGTGATGAAACGCTTCACACGTTCGTTTGTAGTTGAGGATCAAGCAACACAAGGGTGCTCAAAGCTTGTTGCGCCGATGGGAAGCTAACAGACGGGACAGAGAGATTATTCAAGTTGAAAATACGGACGAGGAAGAAGAGATCGCAATGGGGACGAGAGGCAAAGCTTCGAGAATCGGTAGTATTCGAGTTGGAGGGATGCAGTCCGACGAGAGATGGCGGGAAAGAGCCAGACCTTATATACTGCCCTCGAGTATACCAGAAGGTGACTGAAGACGGCTGTGGAGGTCTCTCATAAGCGAAGGACGCTTGAACCAAGCCCCGTGTAAGCTCAGTCCTGACGATGACAGGTTCAACGATGCGCCAAACAAGGCCGTTGACGGCGGAAGCACACGTCTACGTTGTAACGCTGTGGTCCTGTTTGAGTCTCAAACGAGAAACTTCGGGGATTTCTGTAAAGGCCCGAATTTCCAACAACAAGGGCAAGCTCCCGGGGAAGGGTTGCAAGACAACGCCCAGACGACGAGGACCCAAGGAGCAAACGGAGCCCACGGAGACTTCGGATACAGATGGCGCTGCTTAAAGTCAGGTTTTGTTCCAAACTGCTCGAAGCGGGCGCCAGGGATGTTTGTACAATGTACAATGTGGCGATGGTGACGGGCGCCGAGTTGGAAAGAAGAGATCGAGGTTTATACCCGGACAGCAGCTTGGATGAACCAGAGTCCAGACACTCCCGGTCGAGCTGGCCAAGCTCCTGTCAGTCTAGAGTAACAAGAATAGGGCAGGCGGCGCAGGCGAAGCAAGGCAGGTGTGAGTCGTTCCATGCCGGGAAGGAGGCAACAACCGCTGGGCAGCGTACATGCCTAGACCGTCGACACCTAGTTAGTAGTAGTCAGTCCTGCTCACTTTGTCACTCTCGAGTCAATCCTCACTCCTCACTCCTCCATCCCCAGCACCCGAGCCTCGAAGACTCCGTGCCATCCACCCTTTCCACCCTCGAGCCGGTTTAAACACTAAATTGTCGAGCAGCACATGGTAGCCAGTCTGCCCGTGATGGTTGCCCAATCAATAAACTGTCAACCTTGTCCCCTGGGGCCCAAGACACCTGGAAACGCAATCGAGCCAAAACCCTGGCGCCTTGGGCTAGTCCGGTGGGAATCCCGGTCAATGTCATCGATGAAACGGGACTGGCGTGCTTCCAGAGACATGGTAGCGGGTCTTTGATGG